AACATAATATAATAACGATTTCAAATAATTAGGATTTTTTAAAAGCTGTTGTCATACGGGCTTTTAAACCAATTTTCGTTTTCGCCGAAATTCACTATACATACATGTACCGTTAATATAATACTACTTAGAAAACTGTAACGCAAAGCACGTCTTGGAAATACTCTCAGTAACATTACACTTGCACGTGGTCTTAATTTAATTATTTAGACTGGTAATTACATTGGGCTAAGTAGATTTTCGCTTACTTTATATTATTTTTAATACCTCCATAAAGTCTAATAGAAAATATACCGACTGAACCATTAACCATACTAAGGTACGGCAATTATTACGTAAATTTTGAGATTTTCTTTACAATACTGTTGATAAGGAAAATGGATAAAACCCAACAAATCATTGGTGGTAATTGTTAAAAAATATATATATATATATTATTGAGGTCATGTACATTAAACTAACTAACTAAAAAGGGGTTTTTTAAATATAAAAAATCCTTTGTGTCAGTTGTTTAACATTAATTAAAATAAGTATTTTAATACATAAAATATTATCATACATATGGTTTACATTATAACTATACCACTCATTTTGTATTCCTTAATCGGACGTGAATAATTAAAACCGTACAGACTGTAGTCGAATTGGTGACACTGTGATGTCTGGTTTTTAATAAGTATTTTTGAAATAAAAAATCATAGTACTGAAATATTTGCTTAAACGTATTGTGTAAAAATTAGATTACAGTAGGTCGTATAATAATTTGTATTATGTTTAACTACTTATTTTAATTGGGCGTGTCTTACATGAATCTAATTGAACAAGTTATAGGATTATCAAAAGATAAAAAATACTTTGTACTGGATGTATTTGGGTAATAGGAAAACACTTTTGTGATTGATTTTTAATTTTATGGCCGCGGGTCACATAGTCATACATTCAAAATTAGGTTTTTTTAGACATAATTGTGGTTTTGAATTGTTTTTTTTAGCTTTGATGCAATAGCTGAGTAGATATTTTTAAATAATAATTTAAACTTATTGCAAAAATTATCTAATTTGGATGCATATTTGACCAGTGGTCACAGAATTTTGTGAAATAGGTACACATCGACACATCTGCCGAACTAAACTGTTAGGTTAGGTATAATTTTTGTATTGAATTTTCTTTGAAAACTATGCTTTTTAATTAATTAATATGACAGTCCACTTAGTACGTATTATATTAATATAGCTGTTTGTGCGAATAGACTTTCTTAAGGTTTGGGTAGAAGTAAGAATAATTGAACATAACATGTTAAAATAATAACAATATTGCCGTTATTTTTTATGCAATACTTACTGACCAGAATCCAAACGTTAACTGTTATCACAGTTTACCATATTGGTGAACTATTCATTTAAATAATAAAGCCGGGTAGGTATGTCTACTCAATAAAAATGTCGAACTTCCATCACTCAACAAAATTTGTCTGCAGACTGTAGGTAATGGTGTATCAACGTTTGTAAAAAAGGTGATGTTTGCGACAAAAAAATATTAGTTGTTCATTAACCAAAGGTAGTAAATTGGAAACATTTCACGGAATATGACACATCAATCATTGCATGGGTTATGCTTGAGTTTCAACAAACGTGTTTTTTTTCAAATCTGCTTCCCCCCGTTTTTTATAACATCGATAAAAAAATCTTGAAAAACAATGTACGTTGTATAATGTTGACTGTTATTTTAGTGTCATAAAAAAGTTAATATTTTATCATCTAATACCAAGGAAATATATCCAATAAGAACTAGGTATATGGTGTATAAAAGCTAAATAAAAGGTATTAAAGCAGAACAAATATTGTTAAACGTTATACATAAAATAATTGAACTACCAGAAAAATAGCTTCATCATTATTGTGCTAATAAATGTACACTAAATTTCAATTTTTAATTATGATTTGCAAAAAATATTATGTACCGAACGTCTTAAATAAATTAATTAAGTGCTGCGTGGCGCCTTCTTAAGGATAAATTACTATATTAGTATAAATTACTTTTTCCTTATAAATCATTAACAAACAATGAAGTGTTAACAGTCTTATTTTATTTTGAACACCATCGTTTTTGAAATACTGAGATACTAATTAAAAGAATAAACGTAACGTAGGTATATTGACTCAAATTAATATTTTCATAACTTATTTCGAACTACTGTTTTGTCAAATATTTATTTTTATATTTATAAATATAAATTATATTTATTTGCTTATACTTGAAAAATCAAATTATGTTGATACTAATAGTATACTTGCATATAAAAGTGTAATCTAGTGAACTTAACGTTTAATCGGTATAACATGATTATTAAAATAACAAAAACAATGTATTTGATTGAGTGTTATGCGTGTGTACTAGTTGACGGGAAAGGTAATGTTATGTACTAGTATTTAGAATTGCTGTACTAAATGGTAGTGTGTACAAGTACAACTAGATATGCATATAACTATTTCTCCTCCTGTCTAAATTGTAAAACGATGCACACATAACTCTTAAACAGTTCAGTTGACAACTATACATATATATCTGCTAAACTTATTGTCATAGTTACCGGTAGAACACTTACGTTTGTTTGCTGCATGAATTACTGCACTGATGACAAAAATAATACAATAAAAACATTTTTTTCATTACAAATATGTGATACCACTGTGATGAGCAAAGTCATAAATCTGAGCGCACGGCAGTGCGCCGGCCAAGTTCTAGCAATGCCAGTGTATCTTTACGCGAACCAATTCTCCCGGTATTTCTAACTCTCATATCTCTGCTTCTTCTAGAGATAAACTTTTGAAATTTGGAACATAGATTAAACTCATGTAGTTTAGGACACTGTAAAAATATGAGCTGTAAATATTCAGCTCTTTCAAAATGGGAGGATTTCAAAATTTGCATTTTTTCAGAAACTGGCCAAGTGTTAAGCAATACAAATAAAAGAGCAGTGTTGCTCATGAAAGTAGGAGTGAAATGTGGTTATGAACTAAAGAAATAGCAGACTTGGCCACAATGTAGATATCACTACTTTGATAGACTGACATTTTTGGTGGGGGTCTGGAACTTGGCCTTTTTTCACTGTTAGGTTTTTGTTGGGGATCACCTTTACATGTAGTCATTAATTCGCGTTTACCATGTTTGTATACTGTCGTTAGTGCGAATTTACTTATTAATTCAATGGCTGTACGGATTGTATTAAATCGAATTCCGGGGATTAAAAATGGAATATATTTTGAAAACTAAAAATGCTAGTGCGCATTACCGGCGTCACAAAACGTGGAATCTACATAGTACATTATACTTGCTTAATACCAGGCTAACTATTAATTCGCATTATACTATTTGCGAATTAACGGATGTACATGTACATTTGGTTTGTTATGGTTAGCATATCATTTTACGGAACGTTTAGAAAACCATAAAATAAAACGACTAATATTTTTGAGGAAACGGCCGGGATGTCATTTAAGGCAACTGAAATGTTCGGCGAACGTACAATAAAAGTAATGTTAAACTACTATACGCTTCAACGTTGTTACTGGCTATAAATCATTGTTTGCGCAGTTCCGTGAAAAACTAGGCGTCACACGTTGAAGAGGATTTTTACGAAGAACATAATGTCGTTACAAAAGCGCGTAGTCGTTACTGCATTATTATTATATTTGTGTGGCGCAGTGCAAATAGTTGTCAAGGCAAAAGAACCGAATAGACACGTTTTTTCCGCTTTCAAAATGAAATCACGTCCTTTGAAGTTACTGAGAGTAGTTTGTTATTAAACTCGAGTGTTGGTTAGTGTGTGAGTGAGTGTTTACCGTACGTCTCGACTACGGAGCTCGAGTAAAGACACGCCTCGGGCAAATCCTAAACAACAATTTCCGTTAATTAGCCGTTGGTTATTATAGACTGAGATTCTGTTATTTATTTTTAATTTGTTTAATTATAAACGGGTAATAAACGGGCCTAATGTTATACAAATTAAGACTAAAACGCGAAGTCGCTTTCTCAAGTATTAGTGTTGAGAGTAATTCCGTGCAATCAATGAGGCCATTAAATAGATCTTATAAGAACACGATTTCCGCGACTTTCCTTCTCGACTAACAAAAGGTGAACCCCAGTTGTGGCAGATTTGCATGTTATACGAGTCTAAAGAAATGGGCTTCTTCAATTTAAAACACAAATGTATACTAAACAATTTCAATGAGATGACTAGACAATTGATCCAAACTCGAGTTCATACAAGAGAAAATAATAATGTTTTCAATGCATTAATATTTCCAAAGTAAAATGTATATTCTCCGACGCTATTGGACTATTGATTATCTTATTATTATATTTTTATTGACTGTGTAATACGACGAGATTACGAAAATTATCAAAAAATAAATACATTTTGTTGATTTGTATACGCTGTACATACATCGTGTGTGTATTGCGTTTTCGCGGTGTACAAGGCCTTTTTCCTTACGTTTTACGGCTAATATATTCGAAAGGCGTGCGGCGCTGGCCAAATTAGCCGACTGCAGCGTTATTTAGAGGTTATGTCAAGGGTGGAGGGGTGCCGCGAGAGGCGAGGCACAGCTCATAATATCGGAGTCTTGGCAAGATTGATGATGTCCCAGATGATCATCGTTTCCTTGTTAATGCCTTTGGCCTCGGGTAGTAACAGTGAGTGGGCGCGCGCGAGTGAGGGAGAGAGGAGAAAACGGGAGAAACAAACCATCTCTATCGCCGTCACCAAGTTTGATCGGCAAGAGGAGGTTATGAAAAAAACACCCCTTACTTAACAGATTATGATATTACCCCCGGTACCATCTATATACAGTTTACACTATCGTGAAAACGTTGTAAAGCGATAAAAAAAAAAAAAAAAAAAGGATAAAAATTATCGGTTTATATTGCGAGAGAACCCTCGTTATAGCGTGTAATGAAGATTCGTGTTTTTTTTAAAATTTAATTTTGTTCTCCTTCAGTTTCAGGTAGCCCGACCAAGAGAAAAATTGACGAACAGCTAAAAACGTATTTTGAAAGTGCTCCGCAAAATGTGTTCGCTTCCGCCGGCCAAAGTGTCCTGTTACCGTGCCGAGTTAGGCATCTAAACGATAAAGTGGTAAGTGACGTTATAATAAAATCATATTGACACACAACAGCTACCATGACACAAAATGAACCGTCAGAAAATACGATCATGGTATTTGATTGAATAACGAAGTTTCACGCTGCTAATTTACTTTTATTGTCATGACCTTTGTGAAAAAATGTCGTTTTTACTCGCCTACAACTTGAAAGTTAAAAGGCAATTGTTACGTAAAATACAAACAGCTCAAGCAGCCCATGTAACTGCCCCTCTTTAGGAAGGAGGTTTCCTGACTTTCTTATATATATATATATTTAATGTATAATATGCATTATGTTTGTGTAATATATACAAATGAATGTATTTTTAACATAAAATAATAAATTATTGTGTTTAATTAAATGTAGAATATTGACAAATGTTTTGGAACAGTCACGCGATTTTCTATTTTAGTCAATATATTAAAATGGGAAATGTAATTTAACTTTAATTACCCACAGTGGTCATAACAATAAATTCATTTTCCAATGTATACAAGTCAAAAACGTATTTCCCGTAGGGGTATATTACAGTCATCATACTTTCTATTATGTCATATAATAGTATTATTATATTATATACATCAGATAACTCTTCTGGTTCTAAACAAACTTTGAGATTCTTATCATGACCAAAAAGTAGTGGCGGGTTTTACACTTATTAAAATAACTTTTTAGCCGGTTTTTGTCAAAGTACCCGCCTAAAATTTAAAAAAAATAATTGATTTAATTTGTCGGTTTACTATTATGCGACCCTCAGCTTTCACTACTATTTATTATTTATTATCAAAGTTGGTTTAGTTCAAAATAAGTAAATGATGGACAGTTTTTTAAATTTATGTATAGCTTGTTTAAGTAGGTATAACATGTTGTAAAACGGATTCTATTTTTAAGTATCTCCTAAAACCATAATTTTTTTTTAGAAACATTTTTAAAAGCACGTATGAAATTCCCTCTATAAATGTATTGCCTATAAAATGAAGGCGTTCAACGTAGTAAATTTTTACGTTAGATAAATTAATATAACCTCTTAAAGATTGGAAACACTAAAATAAAACAGTTTAAATTTTTTTCAATTAAAGCTTCTTATTTTTATTAAATATTGCTAAAACTATTGTAAGAACTGTTTTTTTAACTTATAAGCCTTTATTATAATTATTATATATACTGTTAAAAAATAACATTTAAAAAATGAACTTCTGTACTCTTTAAATATAGTTCGTAATATGTAGTTATACTTATAAAAGACAAAGATATTAATTATTATTAAATTAATATAAAATTATAATTGAAATCCAACGCTAGAAATACACGACAGAGTTCATTTATCTAACCGTCCGTATGAGTTGTGGCTTGTCTTAACTACCATACCTAATTACATTTTAAGTCGTTGTGTAGCGGCAGTATATTTTTTAATAGACATTAGTAGTAGTAGATAGTAGACTCGGCACTTCCTCGCCGTCCGTTAACCTCGCTGTGAAAAAATCCAGCGTTGTAATATTATTTTTCACAAAAAAAAAAAATATATCTCCAGGTTCCGCAAAATGTTGTACATTATTCCTTGTAACTAGAAAGTATTCAAGTGTTCAATCAATCTAATTTTTCTACACAGCTTTCCCAATTTACTGAGCACTGAGCATGATGATCTATTCTGTCCAACCGTCCGCTCACAAACATTGGCCGATAATAGGGTAAAATGTATACGCGTTAAATAGAAATACTCTGTCTTGTGTATTGTGACACACAAGGGGGTAAGTGCTGGGCTTTTTTCATTTTTACTGAGCTTCACCGGATAGTAGTGGTATTATACACATAGAATGACATTTATTCGCACACCCACAAACAAAGTCCTCGTGGTTGAGATCTGCCTTTGCCGTCGACCACTTAACACTTTTGTAGTATTATATATTATAAATTATTATTGTATAATAGCTGGCGCAGCGTATGTATTTTAGACACGATGTGGAAGACGTTTTAATGATCAACCCGCTCGCCAGAACGTACGTATAATGGATCTAATTGAAACGACCTGGTGCATCATTAAAATCACCATTCCACCGAGCTCCAAGTACAGTTGTGTGGGATTTCAAATAGAATATAACTCTGTGCGAGAGGAACAGTGTGGATAGCGAATAATATGTGGTTACTATAAAATCTTTTGTAAGGGTAAAATAAGCGCACAAATGAAAGAGGCAGTCATTAAAGGATTCGCTGACGTTAAGGATATTCTGTGAAATTGATAGGGTAGCAAAGTGGATTGGAAATGATGACACATACAGTGAAGCATTTTGTGTTTTTTGTAAACACATAGGTACCATATCCATACTAAATATTAGGTACATACTTGATACTAAATATATTCCTACTTACGGCTCCGTTAGTATCGTCTTTTGTGCACATCACAATCAAGGTTACTAGATAAAATATATAATATTCGGTTCAGATAGGAGTTTAGTAGCGTTTTTTTTTATATCTATATCCATTCGAGTTTTCAATTTTAATCAACCTGTCCATGTTTTAATGCAATAACTAATGCACGTATCGAAAAAAACACATTAATAAAGGTTATTATTACTAAATGGTTGAGTGTTAAATATTTCAATCGTTTAGTTGTTGAACTAGAATAATGAACAGTTCTAACTATTAAAAAAGAATCATTGAATAGCAATAAATTAAAAGAACGTGAAAATTGTTCTTTTCCAATTTCTGTAATACAATTTACGTGTAATAATTTATAAGTAAATAATATTTATATATTTTATATTCATTAAAGCCTATAATTTTGCAATGACCATATTATTTATCTTACTATTCTTTGTCAGTGGCGTATATAGGGTATAACTTCAGAGGAGGTTATAAAACAAGAATAGATTTAATTGATATTATAAATTAACTTTGATTAAATAAATTCGCACATGTGCCGTACCAACCACAATTTTTTTTTTGGATGGGGGGGTTGAACCCCAAAAACCCTCCCCTATATACGCCACTGTTCTTTGTAACTTTATTATGTATAAATACTTTTAGTTTTTATTTTTTTGATATTGCAATAATGGTTTTTAGCTTATTAAAACTTGGGGCAAACTAAACGATTATTTATTTATGTATTAAATACTATATAGCTTGAAGTATTAAAAAAAACCATTATTTTTAATACAAATAAAAAAAAAACCGGAAATTTAAATTCAAAATATAGGTTCAAAAAGTATTTAAGCATCTCATAATTTATTATTCTATTTAAATTGATAATAATAATAATAATAATAAAAAGTATATATAAATGTCAAAGAAAAATACTACGTAAAATGTTTTTTTATGTCTTTGTACACTGCACTTCCTGACCTGTTGGAGCGAGTCCATGTTTCTTTTATCAGTTATTAGCAAGTATTTGTACGAAGTACATTATTTTGGTTTAAACTAAATAAAAACTAAAAAATATAGACTTCTATTATAATACATTTTTGTTAATGTCTATTTATATTATTTTCAAAACTCACATGTTCCATTTAAGTTAATAGCAAAACTCAAATGTTCCAAATGTGTATGGATTAAACTTGAACATGTTGATGGCATTTTTGAGTTTTTCAGCTCAAACTACTTTAAAATAATGTAGTATAGATTTGTTGTCCAGGAAACCCCTCTCTCGGTTTTTTTGCGTTTTCTGAAAAATGTGAATTTTGGATCTTGTGAGTTTTGATTCTAGCCTACTCATATACAGGGTGATCCAACTAACGTAAGACACTCATTTTCTCTGAAAATATAAATATTTTGAAAACAATTTTTTTCCTAAACTTTTAGGTACATATTTTACTACATTTTTAAATATTTTAAAACATTTTATCGCCAATCCTTATAAGCCAAAAAAGGGGATTTTTGGTTTTTTTAAACGGCAACATATGTTTTTAATTACATAAATTTGTAGACAAAAAATTTAAAAATGTGTTAGCGGTAAAATTTTTTATTTTTATTAAACTGTTCATTAGTTATGACTTTGTTAAGATACTACATTTCCTCTTAATAATAATCATATTTCTTCGGTTTGTCCAAAACCGGTAGCACATCAAATTCATATTTATGTTCGCATTGTCCAATTGGCGATAACATTCTAACAACTAGGAATTCACTATAAAAGATTTTGAAATAGACAAAGGTTCTCATCTTCAGATTACTTAGATTATAGGTTATTTATTATGTCTGATTATGGTACAGAGTACGGTAACATGTCAAATTATTTGTACGCAATGTAATAAAACTACTCGTCTTTGTAGTAACGATTGAAAATATTAAGAAATACAGTCAAAAAATCAAATCTTTATAAAGTCATAACAAATGAACAAATAAATGAAAATTCAAAACTCAAACGCTAACATAATTTTTAATTTTTTGTCTACATACTTATGTAGTTAAAAACATATGTTGCCATAAAAAAAAACAAAAATCCCCCATTTTGGCTTATAAGGATTCGTGATAAAAATTTTCAAAATATTGAAAAATGTAGCAAAATATGTACCTAAAAGTTTAGGAAAAAAATTGTTTTCAAAATATTTATATTTTCAGAGAAAATGAGTGTCTTACGTTAGTTGGATCACCCTGTATAATATAAATATTAGGTATATGGTTCAGACAATTTTTTATTGTATTGAGTTGTATATCAAAATAGAAATAAATGTATACATTAGGATGTTTCAAAAAAAAAACCTTACTTTAGAATTTTGTTTACAGGACCCTATTTGGCTAAACTTTAACGCCGATACGTGAAAGACTTAAGTAATCAAACCCAAATGTTCACAACATTATTTTTTTATATCAAAAGAAAAAAATGGAGGGGCGGGGTGCTACAAACAAATTTTGGATCACCTAATATATGTATATAATTTTCCATAAGTAAATAAAAGTTAAAAAAATTCTGATTGCTTAAAAAAATATTATAGCACTCAATCACTCGGTATAAAAATGATACTGATGAGACTGATATTTATTATACCGAATTTAATG